AAGCCGTAATATGGCACTGACAGTGAAAGGGTTAAATACGTATATTAGAAAGAAAAAATAAATAAAAAGGAAACTCCAACTTGATAACTTTGTTTTAATTTGCATAACTTACATATTACAGAAAACAATGAAAAAGTAAAATACAGTGGAACCTCAGCTTACAAACGCCCCACCATGCAAATTTTTCAGGATACAAACTGTCAATCAGTCGATTTTTTGCTTCTGGATACGAACAAAATTTCAGGATGCGAACTTTCCCCTCAAGGGAGGTTCCTTAAATAAATAAATAAATAAAATATTTATTTCTTTGCAAAGGTTACAATGTGTGTTTACATATCATAATATGATCTGAGCTAAGAAAGCCTCTATCATGCCAAGGCATTTTGGGCAGACTTAACCTAATACTAATAGACTACTTAAGTCTAGACAGGTGAAAAGTGTACTAGTAATGGTTGCCAATGTTTTGCTGATGGTGGCACCAACTACTGGCAGCCTTTTGAAGTTTCTCCTGTTATTATTATATTATTATTATTGTTATAATAATAATGATTATTATTATTAGTAGTAGTAGTAGTAGTACGTACATGGTGAGGGGCTCTTGATCTAGGTCATTAAATTAATAATAATGAAAACAATTATTATAATAATACTATGTGCATACTTCGTATAATTTAGTTTGACAACGCCACCACCATATAGCAGTGTCAATCAAAACAATGCTCACCAATAAACATGTGCATTGGTGAATTCCTCACGGTGCAAGGAATTCTCGTGATTTCCTTACATTTCATGCAGTTAATTCATCAGATTTCTTTCTTCTAACCATGGACCCTAAGAAAGCAAATGGAAAGGACAGTACTGAAAAGAAAAAGAGGATGATTTGCATGGAATTAAAGCAAGAAATTATTGATAAGCACAGACTAGGTACGTAGTGTAGTGAGATAAACATAAAAATTGTACATAGCGACCACTCTCGCGACCACAATCCTCCTCCCTCGCCGTCCACGTAGTGACATATTTTATTCATTCTAGAGTGTATATCAGGTTTCTATGTTATTTATATTATTTATGTCATACTAGATGAATTGTGACAGATAAATAAGCCACAGAGTTGACATTAGGGTTATTTTGCCATGCCTCCTGAGAGCAGGAATTTAGCTGGAACAAAGTAATTTCATTTCAATTAATTTAAATAAGGAAAATTGACCCAGCATACGAACAAATCAGGATACGAACAAGTCCACGGAACGTATTAAATTTGTAAGCCAAGGTTCCACTGTACACATACAGTACACTCATTGTAGTATTAATGTAGAGTGAGAGGCGAGTAGTATTTATCAAAGTATACAATGCATATACAGTACACTCATTACTTACCTTAAAATATCTGTAGTCCTAATGTAGAGTGAGAGGTGAGTATTTATTAAACAAAGAGGAAGAAGAACAAAGAATGAAAGAAGTACAAAAGTTCACAGTAACGAGGTTAGCTGGTGTATTCGTCTGTGTGTTTATATTCTCTATGTCTCTCATGGCATCTTAAGAAATTATTAAACTCAGTGAACAAGGTATGTCAATGGTAATAATAATACGTAATAATAATAATAATAATAATAATAATAATAATAATAATAATAATAATAATAATAATAATCGCCCTGGAGCACTTTAAATGCCAGCTACCAAACCTATAGGAAATACGTGTGACATTTAAAATTCTCCAGATTATTATTATTATTATTATTATTATTATTATTATTATTATTATTATTATTATTAATTATTATGATTATTACCATCAATATACAGTGGAACCTTGAAAATCGAACATACCAAATATCGAACGTTTCGAAAATAAGACCATTTTTTCGGACAAACTGTGTACCATAAATCGAACGCATTTCAAATTTCGGACCGCTGGGTACGGGACCTGTCCGCTGGCCCGCTTTGTCCGCGTCCCCGTGCAGGCGCCGTGAGCAGTGTAGCTTGTTTATGCTTGAGTGAACACTAACCTGCGCTCTCATTCACACATTTTACGATTATTTCGTTGTGTTTAGTGCTTGTGGGACTGTGAAATAAGCTGCCATGGGCCCAAAGAAACTTGCTAGTGGTACCCCTGTGGTAAAAAAAGTGAGAAACACCATAGATGTGAAGAAGGAAATAATACAGAAGTATGAGAGTGGTGTGAGACTTGTTGAGCTTGCCAGGTTGTATGGGAAAAACAAGTCGACCATCGGTTCTATCCTGGCAAAGAAAGAACAAATCAAGGAAGCTGATGTTGCGAAAGGTGTTAATATGCTAACCAAAAAAAGACCACAAATAGTTGAAGAGGTTGAGAAGTTGTTCCTGGTGTGGATCAAGGATAAAGAGATTGCAGGTGATAGTGTTTCAGAGGCAATTGTTTGCGAAAAGGCAAGGAAGTTGCATGCCGATCTGGTACAGAAAACTCCTGGAACCCAGTGCTGATAGTGAATTTAAGGCCAGCAGAGGCTGGTTTGAGAGATTTAAGAAGTGTAGTGGCATACACAATGTTGTAAGACATGGTGAGGCAGCCAGTTCAGACAAACGGGCAGCTGAGAAGTTTGTACAGGAGTTTAAGGGGTACATAGACAGAGAAGAATTCAAACCTGAACAAGTGTTTAATTGTGACGAAACAGGCTTGTTCTGGAAGAAAATGCCAAAAAGGACCTTCATCACACAGGAGGAAAAGGCATTGCCAGGACATAAGCCTATGAAAGACAGGCTTACTCTTTTGTTCTGTGCAAATGCTAGTGGTAATTTTAAAGTGAAGCCTTTACTTGTGTATCATTCAGAAAATCCCAGAGTGTTTAAGAAAAACAATGTCTTTAAGAACAAGTTATGTGTCTTGTGGAAAGCTAATCATAAGGCATGGGTCACAAGACAAATTTTCAAAGAGTGGGTCAGTGAAGTCTTTGGCCCCAGTGTGAAAAAATACCTCCAGGAAAAGAAATTGCCACTCAAGTGCCTCCTGTTAATGGACAATGCTCCTGCTCATCCTCCAAACTTATTAGACCTCTTTTCTAAGGACTTCAGTTTTATAAAAGTGAAGTTCTTGCCTCCTAACACCACTCCTCTCCTCCAGCCCATGGACCAGCAGGTCATTTCTAACTTCAAAAAACTCTACACAAAAGCAGTGTTTGAAAAGTGCTTTGAAGTGACCACAGACACTAAGTTGACCCTAAGAGAGTTCTGGAGAAATCACTTCAACATCTACAACTCCATAAGCCTTATAGGTAAGGCTTGGGAGGTAGTGACTTCCAGGACTTTGAACTCTGCTTGGAGACAATTGTGGCCAGATTGTGTCCAAAAGAGGGATTTTGAAGGGTTTGAGGCTGACCCTGACCCTGACCCAGCTCACCCTCTGCCTGTTGTGGACTCTATTGTGGCATTGGGGAACACCCTGGGGTTGGAGGTGAGTGGTGAGGATGTGGAAGAGTTGGTGGAGGACCACAGGGAAGAGCTAACCACTGAAGAGCTGCAAGAGCTTCATCGGGAGCAGTATCAGACCACAGCTGAGGAACTTGCTCCAGAGGAGGAGGAAGAGGGAGTGGATGAGGTGCCTTCTTCAAAGATTAAGGAGATCTGTGCCAAGTGGAATGATGTCCAAATGTTTGTGCAGAAGTACCACCCTGAGCAAGCTGAAACAAGCCATCTTTGCAACAAGTTCAGTGACAGAACCATGTCCCATTTTAGGGAAATGTTAAAGAGGCGCCAGAAACAGAGGACTGTGGACAGTTATTTTGTGAGACAGGGGTCCAGTACTCTCAAGCTGGTTCTAGTGGCATTAAAAGACAGAGAAGGGAAGTAACCCCAGAGAGGGCTTTACCTGAAGTCCTCATGGAGGGGGATTCTCCTTCCAAACACTAGCCCCAACTCCCTCTCTCCTCCTCCCTATCTTCCAGATGCCATCACCAATCTTCAATAAAGGTAAGTAAAAATGTTATTTTATATTTTATATTATATGTATGTATTATTTTATATGTATGTTATTTTATATGTATGTAAAACTGTAATTAATCTCTATAAAATGTATTTTTTGTGTGAATATTTTTGGGTTTCTGTAACGGATTAATTGTATTTCCATTATTTCTTATGGGAAATATTGATTTGAATTTCAGACTTTTTGAAATTAGAACTAGTTCCTGGAATGGATTAAGTTCGATTTTTGAGGTTCCACTGTACCTTGTTCACTGAATTTAACCCTTAAACTGTCCAAGCAGATCTACGTTCACATGTGTAGTGCTCCAAAAGAAGATCTACGTTTTTTTACATATTTTCAAATACATGTATAACAAGAAAAAAAGTAAATCAAAGTTTTTTTACACGTTTTCAAATGTTAAAAAAAAAAAAATGATGATCTACTTTTTTTACATACTTTCAAATGTTGAAAAAACGTAGATCTACGTTTGGACAGTTTAAGGGTTAATAATTTCTTAAACTGCCACAAGACACAGAGAATGTAAACACACACATGAACACACCAGCTAGCCCCCTTACCGTAAACTTTTGTACTTCCTCCATTTTCCTCTTGCTTCTCCTTTTCCAAGAGTTGCTGCACTTCCAACTCTATCTTGTACTATGGGGTGCACAATAAAGTACAAATCTGTGCAAATATGTAGTTTTAAAGACTGTGAAAGCTAGTGTATTGAGTGGCTGCAAGAAGGAGACTGAGATGCTTTATGCTGAGATGCTGCGCTGCCATTTCCGTGACTCAACTTCTCGTACAGCATACAATACCAACTTGTTGGAGAGCTCGTCGTAACTCCAAGTTGTTGGCAAACGAGTGTGTCGGTAAGTGAGAAGAGGCTGTACTTTAATGGAATAAGTACATTATGATACTGTATATATAAATTATGCATCAACTTGCAGTCAAGGACACAATAATTTTAGTTCTAAGGTAATAATACTTATTACTCATATTATAATCACAAAAAGTGCTAAACTGGAAAGTAAGGCAACTGTAAGAAATCAAAATACTTTACTTGTAAATCTTTTTGATGAACAATTGCTGCATGCCTCCACATATTCTTGACAAGTGCAAACTTAGCAGTGCACAAAGGACACTTGTGAATCTTCTCCTTCTTGACAGAAGAGATATTTGTTTCATTAATCATATTATCCTCGGGATTCACTTCTGTGCCAGTTCCAAATCCAAATTCATTTACTTGCTCATGATCAAATTCATATGAATTCTCATGATCTACACCTTTGTTACATAACATCTGAAAACATGAATTCCTTATTTCCAAATGCTTAGTTAAAGCTGCCTTAGTTATGAAAGAGGAATTGCAATTTAAACATTTGTACTTAAACAAAATGTGTTTTTCCTTATGAGCTTTAAATTGATCAGAAGACATGCAGTAATTCAGAAAACATATATGACAATGTTTTTGTTGTTCCTTGTGATAATTAAGCATTTCTTGGTCGTAATAAACTTTGTCACAATTTGAGCAAAAGAGGCATGATGTATCTTGCTTTCTATGGCATGAGTATTGGTGTTTATCAAATAAATCAGCACTGATACACTCTATCAAGCATGATTCACATGTGTAATTCATTACACTGAATAAATGCTCTGCATTTAGATGGTCACCTAAGTCATTAACACCGTCAAAACCTTTTCCACAGTATACACACATATTTTTTTCAATCATTAATTTTGGGTGTGTCTTTACATGATTGGCAAGGCCTTTTGGAGTGCAAAATTCTAAGTGACACTTTTGACATTCGTACCAAACTGTTTCACTATCATCTTTCTGTGTAGAATTTCTCAAATTATATTTAAGAATCTCATTACTGCTTGAAATATCAACCTTGGGGTTATTACATTTTACTCTTTTGGTCGATGCCTTTGATGAAGCATTTTCGTCTGCATAAAAGGTTTCAATATTTTTTATTAAATCTTTCAGAACAGGGTTTTTAAGTTCTTTCTCCTTATGACATGTTCTTGTCAAATCTTCACTAGAATCTCTTATTTCCTGGCACAGTTTAGTTTCATCAGAAAAGCAGTGCATCTTTTCCTTGAAATTTACTGTAGGTAAATCATTGTTTTGGTGCTGGATGATGGAATAACTTGCCTGTACATCTGTACTAAATTCAAGGAGACTTTTTATTTTAAGCATTTCAACATTTGCTTCATTTGAATTAGCCTTGACTTTCCTTGCATAAGACCGTCCATTATATAATACAGGGATACAAAAAGATTCTTGCAGAGAATTATGTCTTTTTTCTGAACAATGAAGGGATTCATTATCCATCTTTATCAGTGATGTACTGATAATTTGTGGAGATGACATCTCTCCATCAGCAAATGAATTGCAGCTGTCAAACATTTCAGTAGAATTTCTCCAGTCCATTCTTGAGAGTCTGGAAATAAGAAATAAATATGAAATCAAACAGATATGTATATTATTACTACTAACCTCACCCAAAAATTATAGATCCCTAAGGTAGACCATTTTATTTTCCTAATGTCTTTTTTTTTTTTTTACTTTATACCGAATATCAAACCAATATCCTACAATATGCTTTTTAGGCTAGGTTAACCTTAGCTAACCAAATTTAACCGGCTATAACATATTGTATAATAAAACCAATGAAAGCAATAATACATTAAGGAGAGACCATGTTACAAAGTGCAAACAGGAAATGAGGACCTAATGAGAAGGCTGAGGAAGCATGAAAGGAAAAACCTATGTTTACATTTTAATGTAACAGTTACAGTGGACCCCCACATAGCGACTTTAATCCGTGCAAGAGGGCTCATTGTTATGTGAAATGATCGGTATGCGAATGAATTTTCCCCATAAGAAATAATGGAAATCAAATTAATCCGTGCAAGGCACCCAAAAGTATGAAAAAAACAATTTTACCACATGAAATATACATTTTCCTACACACAAAGAGAAGGATACATGCACAATAGTAGAGTAGTACATGCACAATATATATTGTGCATGTACTACTCTACTAAATGAAGAATAAATGACACTTACCTTTATTGAAGATGCAGCAATGACTGATGAGACACTGTGTCCTGGGAGTGCCTTTTCCTCCTGAGTACTGTAGGTCCTGTTTGGCATTTTCTTCCAGAACAGGCCTTATCACACTGTGTATGCCACTACGATTCTTAAATCTCTCAAACCAACCTTTGCTGGCTTTAAATTCACCAATATGAGCACTAGTTCCAGGCATTTTTCCCTGTTCACCTGGGTGTTAGTCGACTGGTGTGGGTTGCATCCTGGGAGACAAGATTAAGGACCCCAATGGAAATAAGTTAGACAGTCTTCGATGACATGACTTTTTTGGGTTATCCTGGGTGGCAAATCCTCTGGGGTTAATTGTTTCTTGGTATTCTCAATAAGCCACACCAACAACGGTGCTACAGCAGCAGCAGCAGCAGCTGACAGTGCTACAGCAGCAGCAGCAGCTGACAGTGCTACAGCAGCAGCAGATGATGCTACAGCAGCAGCAGACGGCACTACAGCAGCAGCTGACGGTGGTACAACAGCAGCAGCAGCTGTACCACCAATAGTAGCGATGGTTGATTGGGGTTTATTATACAACCTGGCCAGCTCGGAGACATGCACTCCACTTTCATACTTATCAATGATCTTTTTCTTCATCTCTATAGTAATTTCTCACCCTTATTGCTGTAGGGTTGGCACTAGAAGCTTTCTTGGGGCCCATGGTCACTTATTTTGCAGATAAAATCACCAAAAACACTGTAATAATACGAAATGTTCCGATTGTATGCTTGGATGTTACCGCGGAGGCTGGCTGGTAAACAATGCCACCGGCGGCACATGTGAGGCTGGCTAAGGGCGCACATTGGACGCGTCTCGGACGAAGAGCGGTGAGCGGGTTTTTGAGCGGTATGCGAGGCAAAATTTTTGCGATAAAAGCGAGCGGTATGCGGATTGAAAGTTATGTGATGCCGACGGTATGCGGGGGTCCACTGTACTTTGTTGATGGTCTTCTCAAGTGAAATAAAAAATGACATTTGCTTAGGATGACTGCAAGAAAGTACAGTGGACCCCCGGTTTTTGGCCGGTGTGGAAATCGTACAATTTGGATTTCGAGCACTGTTTTCAGTGAAATTTCCCCCCGGGTTTCGTACATCGGCTTGGAAATCAAGGGTACCAGACGCATCCACCTGGGCCGCTCATATGTTCGTGACTCACTCTTGGGCACATTAAATGTCTTATTTTATGTTAATATAGACATTTTCATTAATCCATTTGTGATATTTCTTCAGGATTATGTAAGAAACACGTTACATAGCATATAAACATGCCTTTGTAACTTGTTCACTAAGAGCGTCCTTCTAGTCTTAATGCCATAGTAATACTAATAGTACATAATAGTAATCACTCTTGGGCACGTTAACCCTTTCAGGGTCCAGAGGCCAAATTTCAAAGGGTGCACCAGTGTCCAAGAATTTTCAAAAAATAATTTTGTTATTTTTTTCTTATGAAATGGTAGAGAATCTTTTTCTAAAGGTATTAAAACAAAAAGTACGAAATTTGATGGAAAATTCACAAAATTATGCTCTCACGAATTTTGATGTGTCAGCGATATTTAAGCATAGGCGATTTTGCGGACTTTGACTCCCATTTTAGGCCAATTACATTATTCCAGTCTAAAAATTCTCAGCTATTTCATTAGTATTACTTCTATTCTATCGATTGAGCACAAGAATTCACCAAGTCAACTGTTTCAACTACAAAATAAAGTGATTGGAAATTGGTAATTCGGCCAATTTAATGTAAAGTTCAAAATACTCCAATTTCAAAATAGGGTCCAGAATAAACAATGCAGGCATTCCTGGCACTAAACTAACATTTCCTCTGTTCATTAGTTACGTTTTCAGTCTTTACTAATGAATTCCAATTTGATTTTTTATTCACATAATGAATTTTTATACAACCCAAAAAGTAGAAGATTTACTGTTATGCAATATTGTAATAATTGTATAAATAATATCAGCACATTTGTGAACATATATTAGACCCACCAGCAGGTGTGTATTAGACGTGTGAGGTCATTTGTTTACTCTTGAATATCGGCAAAAATTTAACATTTCCGCTACTTTGAGCTCAGTTTCGAGCCATTTCCAGTACTAAAACCAATCAAAATCATCTCTATTTCTGTAATATGTCTTCCATTCTATCAAATGAGACCAAGAAATTGCAAATACAACTATAAAAACATACGAAAAAACAATGCAAAATTGGTTTTAATCGAAAATTACGGTCTCAATTTTTTTTTCTCTCTTTATGCACTGTGTGCTGCAGGATTTGTTTTACGTGGTGCACACATACCACACAGATGTATTCTCTCATATCAAGGCCAAAATTTACCGCTCACAGCTTATCGGAGTGAGCTGAGCTCATGATGTAGATCTACGGTTTGGACCCTCAACATAAAGCCGTAGATCTACGGCACGGACCCTCAAGGGGTTAAATGTCTTATTTTAGTTTATTATGTATAGACATTTTTATTAATCCATCTATGATATGTTCCTCAAAATTATACTACAGTGGTCCCTCGATCATCGTTGGGCTTGATAGTCGTCCTTTTCGGAAATTGTCACGTTATTTTCGTCCAAACTTTGGCTCGCAAATGGTCGATTGACTCGCTAATCATCATTCGTCCTGGACGCGTACTCATGGCTCTGAGTCGCCTCAGCCTTCCTTCCCAGCCAGTGTGCCATTGTTTACCAGTGAGTGACGGTCCCCTCACTTGTTCATATGAAATATTTCATAATATTCCACTCATTTTAGTGCCTGCAAGTGCTAAATAAGCTACCATGGCTCCAAAGAAAGCTCCTAGTGCCAAGCCTTTGGTAAAGAAGGTGAGAAATACGACTGAATTTAAGAAAAATGTCAATGAACAATATGAAAGTGGCGTATGTGTGGCCGAACTGGCCAGGATGCATAACAAACCCCATACAACCATATCTTCCATCGTGGCAAAGAAAAAGGAAATCAAGGAAGCTGTTGTTGCTTGGAGAAAATTGTGGCCAGATTGTGTCCACAAGAGGGATTTTGAAGGGTTTGTGGCTGACCCTGATGAGCCTATGTCAGTTGTGAAATCTATTGTGGCATTGGGGAGTTCCATGGAGTTGGACGTGAGTTTGGAGGATGTGGAAGAGTTGGTGGAGGACCACAATGAAGAGCTAACCACTGAGGAGCTGCAAGAGCTTCAGGAGGAACAGCAATAGATCATAGCTCAGAATATTGCTGCAGAGGAGGAAGAGAGATGGAGATTTTTGAAATGTGGGGTAGGATGGAAAGATTTATGGAGAAACATCACCCTGAGAAAGATGTTGCAAGCCATATCGGCAACTTGTACAGTGACAGAGTCTTGGCCCATTTTAGGGAAGCTTTAAAGAGACGCCAGAAACAGAGCTCTCTGGACACTTTTTTTGCGAGACAGGACTCCAGTGACTCTCAAGTTGATCCTAGTGGCATTAAGAAACAGAGAAGAGAAGTTTGTAACCCAAGAAAAGGACTTGGTACCTGAGGTGTTGATGGAAGGGCATTTCCCTTCCAAACAGTAACTAATCCAATTTCTCTCCTCCTCTAGTCTTCCATACACTAAGAAGAATCGCCAATAAAGGTAAGTGTTATGCTGCTAATGTTTCATTCATCATGTCCCATTGTATTGTTTATGTACTACATCTATATTTCATGTAAAAAAAATTTTTGTTTTAATACTTCTGGGTGTCAGGAATAGATTAACTGTATTTACATTATTTCTTATGGGGAAAATTGATTCGAAAATCGTCTATTTCGATAATCGTCACACTTCCAGAAACAGATTAACGACAATAAACGAGGGACCACTGTATTAGAAACATGTTACAAAGCATACAATAAACATGCAATGTTTATACGCTATCGAGGGTCGGTGGAGGGTAAACACTACGTTTTCTCTGGTCAAGCTTCAGAGAAAACGTGTATGAATCTGCGTTGGTCAGTAACTGCTCTTAACCCGTTAACTGTCCAAACATAGATCTACGCTCTTACTGCTAATGCTCCGAACGTAGATCTATGTTTTATTTTTCCTGGCTTCAAATTTGGTGCACTAGGCTTGAGCAGCCTAGACACAAGAGAATGGGTCTGCACACTCAGTGTGTGCCATATGAAAAAAATTGAGAATGCCTGGGTACTACATGGTAGCACCAGTTACATTCAGCTCCATCTTGGGTCAACATCATGGCACACTCTCGTGATTCACTTATGCCTTGTTGTATTAACACTCTTATTAGAGGAAAGTGATGTAGAATGTGAGTTTAGTGGATCTGACACCGATGTGGCCACTTATTAGAGAAAACATCGACGATAACCCAGATGACCCTC